CCGCGGCCGCCCTTCCCCCGGCCTGGAGAGGCTGCCGGGGGGGCCGGCCCTGCCCGGCCCGGCAGAAAGCGCCTCCGGAACGGCTGTCTCCCCGCGGCGGTGGGTCGCTGCCAGCCCCTTTGTTTGCTGCGTCTCACCTGGCCCGGCGGAGCCGGCCCGTGCCTGCCCCAGCTCAGCCCCTCGGCGCCCAGCGCTTCCCCGCTGCCCCTGGCTCGGAGCTGGCGCCGAGGAGGGGACACTGCCGGGAGTCAGTCGCCACTGCCCTGCAAGGGTACTGGAAAGGGGAAAAAAGCCTTCTGAAAGGGCAGAAGGGTGTACTTACTATGTTACTGAACGTTATCTACACCTCGTGTAGGATTCCAGTCATTGTCATCACCGTGGTACCAAATACTGTGTTAAATAACTGGGAATCTGTGCAGCCTGGCTTTCTCTTCCTCAGAACAAACGTACTCGGGACCTAGCTGGTTTCCTTTGGCGTAAATTACTACTGCCTTATTTATTTTTAGTTACTGATCTTGCCACTCTTTTGTGAGAAAGTCGTTGGAAAAGGGATGGACTTTGCCCCTCGGCGAGGTTTGAATTCACTGTATTATCACAAGAGAAACCAAGGGCCAGCACTGGCACCCCGGAGGGCGTCTGGGGTGCTTCGAAGATTCAGGCAATGTAAAAAGGAGAAACTCGGTTGCCTGGATCCAGTTGGGTAAGGATATAAAAGATGAGCACCCAGTCCTTGATCCGGACCTGATATTCCTGACTGGAGAGTAAAAAACAGATAATTATGGATTTCTACAGGTAATGGCTCAGGAGGCAGGTGTTATATTTGGAGCTGATGAAATAGCTCCAGTATCTGTGCTTCCAGAGTAGAAAAGATGGTACTAATGAAGCCTAAGGGTCATGAGAGCATTCACGTTAATGGAAGAAAGACTTTTTGGTGCCCGTTGCCACTTAATCTACTAGTTAAAATGGAAGTACAGTAAAAATCTCCATGTTCATTTTCATCTTGACAATCCCCAAGCAGAATTGCTTGATACAAAGCTGTGATATGGAGCTAATTATGGGAAATATCTTCCTTCACAATTCAGCCTTTCCTCGGCTCACAGCAGCCGTGATACAGCCATTGCGTTATTTCTGTAAAGGGCCATACTCACAGGCCCCACATGAAATATAAGAATCACCTACTCCTTTCCTCCCACTCCCATTCACAACCTAGCACATACAGTACCATTTATTAAGCTATTTGGTCTTATATTTAGTGTGTCAGAAAGAATGCTCTAATTCAATCTTCCTCTGGATATGTTTGTGTTGTTTCTCAATAACGGCAATGTAAACAATATGCTCCATTTCCTTAGATATTGGAAAACATAAAAGCCAAACTAATACACTGTTTAATTTTTTCTGTTTATTTTTAAGGGACCTGCAACTACGTGTATTCCAAATGCCCAAGGTAAGATTTAAGTAAACACAGTCTCCATGGTGAGTTTAATGACCTAGCATCTCTGTGAGATCACACATGCATATTACGAAAGTCTGAATAAACACAGATGATACTAACATCAGCATACAAAATACTATAAATAAACCTTATATTTGGCTAACTACATATATAATATACTGCATACATAGCTAGGTTCCGATACCTAATTTGAGCCATCTGCACTCTTCCATGCGCTGAAGTAAGCTAAGGTTTGGTTTCACAAATCATTTTTCCTAAGAAGACTGCCTGCATGAATAAGGATTTACAAGCTCACAGGATCAGACAGCTCCAGCCTTATGGTGCTTAAGAAAATACACATACCTTGCACAGTTTTCATTTATTTGTATATTTTTTTTTTAACTATACTTTGGGAAAGCATGTTTATGTCAAGACTGAACTTTTGACACTAAGCACTTTTTAACTTACCAGAAGACCCCGGAACAATGTTCTTAAAATCCAGTAATTTGGGTACATTGAGCAACATTACAACGCTTCCTGCAGTTCATCTGAAAAATTGGCTCAGTGGTCTCAAAAACTCTAAGTAACAGACAGCAAAGAACATTCCAACTGTAAGTACCATTTTCCACTTGAAAGTTTTTAAATACTTGTTTGCTTGGATTTTTTCTCTGTTGTCTTGCTGTGCATTTGGACGGGTTTGGTTCTTTAAGAGTTAAAGAGCAAATGCTGTTCCTTCTATTTCCTACAGGGTGGTCAGGAAAGGAATATACAGCACATGCAATATTTCTCCTGCAGAAGCATAATAAGAAACACTCTAGATGCATTTCTGTACTCTGTCACAAAGGCTACCGCAGAGTAGTAAACCATGCCCTGTAGTTTAGTTATGTTTTAGGTATTCTTCCCAGCTGTGTTTTTTTAAAAAGAACACAGAGGGCCTACAGGGTACTCAGACTAAGGACTGGTTAAGGAGATCTATCTACTCCCCAGAAGCAACTTTTGCAGGTAGAAGTCCCTCTGCTTAGCACTCTGAGACCAACCGCACATAGCTTTGTGTCTGGACTGCTCCCGGCGTATGCTGTTCACCTGCGGGAGCATCTGCAGGTTGGTGTTTTGATTTTTCATTAGTGTTGCCTCAGTCCAACTGATTACTTGACAGGCTACTGCACGGTTAGGGTGTCCTGTAAAGCTGTAAGGAAAAGACCTGCTAGAGATCATAAAAGTGCAGCCTATTTGCATCAGCTTCTATTTGCATTCTTACTTCAGGAAAGAGACTACATCAAACTGGTAACAGGTAGCAATGATGGCAACACCAGCACACAGTCATCTGCAGAAAACAGCCTTCCAAGACACGGTTTTACTCGCGCAAATCGCTCTCAGGCTGCGCCTCCCCTGTTTCACGCAGAGTGGCCGTGGCAGTGGCAGTGGCAGTGGCAGGGAGGGACGAGCAAGCTGCAGGCAGTCTGTTACCTCGAGTCAGCCCCTGACCTTTCCCTGGCCTGTGAATCCTCAATAGCTCTGTGGAGAAACAGCACTATCTGGTGGAGGGAGTGTGTCAAGTCCGACCAGGACTCGCAAGAGGCTTTGTTCAGTTACTGCAGCCACTATTGCAACTGCTTCTGAGGTGTGCCTGCCCAAGGCTGATAGATAGTTTGACTGGATTTTCAAGAGGATTTTTTTTTTTCCCAGTCCCAGTGGCCCGGAAATATATCTGGCTGAGTCTTTATGAAACTAATGGTTATATCTGTTTCTAGTGCTTTCCTGAGGAACTGCTTAAACCTTGGAGAAATGTCAGCAAATTTTCAGGATTTTCCAAGTACAGCAATATGAAGGAACAAGAGGAGATTTTGTGTTGTTTTATTTTTAAAAGGAGCATCATTTCTTAAGTTATACTAAACAGATGCACTAGGAATAACACAAGCTTGCATACAGGGGAGATTTTCAGAAACAACTTTATGTAAAAAATGAAATAAAAGCCAGAACCCAAGTTATAAACCTTGCAAAATTTGAGGAACTTTGGCTCTGAATCCACACCAGACATGAACATATTCCAAGCATCACGTATGTGAAGATGTTCACTAGTATGAATACATTCACTGAATTCCTTTGAACTTAATGGATATGCTTATACAAGTGCAGTAGCTGAGTGTTAGTGGGATCAGTCCCCTCCTGGCAAGAAATCAAAGACTGCTGGTGAATGCTGACTATCTTTGAAAGTCAAATTGTTATTTAGAGATCTAATTTTGGACACATGGTTATGAAAAAAGCATCCTTGAGTATTTTCTCTCCTGTCATGCTGCAAACTATCTTTAGGGTATACCAATAGCTAATTCATCTTTTCTAAAGATGGAGAAAAAGCCCAGTCTCA